TATTGTTGCTATGTTTCACTATTTTAATAAACATATGATAGAGTGGAAAACTCACTGATGTGACTTAGTAAACAGGCCTTTCAGAAGTATGGATATTCAAATCATAAAGTCACCATTAAGGCACTTTGTGGCAGATCCGGGGAAGTGAACTCTAATTGCAGACAAGTTATTGTTGCTATGTTTCACTATTTTAATAAACATATGATAGAGTGGAAAACTCACTGATGTGACTTAGTAAACCAGGCCTTTCAGAAATATGGATATTCAAATCATAAAGCCACCATTCAGGCACTTTGTGGCAGATCCGGGGAAGTGAACTCTAATTGCAGACAAGATATTTTAGACAAAGTAAATAACCAAGCTTTCTTTGGTTGTGGTTATTTTACATTATTTTATTCTAAAATTTTATTTTGTAATCCATGCTACCATTGAATGTCCAGAGAAGAGATTGAAATACAAATATTTTCACTCAGCTTTATATTCATTTATTCATTCAACAAAATTTATTGAGCACCTACACATGTGTCTCAAGGATCAGGTCCAAAGTTCTTAAACTTTTGCTGAAAATCCTTTCATATTTGGCCTTTATTGACTTATCCAACCTATATTCTATAAATTCACTTTACAAGTTCTTTACTTCAGCCAAGCTGGGGAGATGTTGAAAACATGAGCCATAGCGTAGGTTCTAATCCTGGACCTGCTGTGTCTCAATTTCCTCTTCTCTGAAATGGATATATAATACCTAGCTCTTAGAATCGCTGTGATGATTAACCGAGAAAATGTACATAAATGCCTAACACACTAATGAGAAGGCGGCACATTTGTGAACTGCTGTGATTAGAGAGAGGCTCTATGCAAAGGATGAAGACTATAGGCCCTGTCGGCTGGGTTTCACATCACAGTTCTGCCACTTACTACAGTGGTTCTGTGACTTATTTTCTCCATGCCTTTATTTTCTCCTTTGTAAAATGGAGATGAGAACACCTGACTCCAAGGATTATTGAGAGGATCAAATGGGTCAAAGCATGTAAAAGTGCTTAGAACATAGCCTAGAACATAGTAAGTACTCACCATATTTTAAATAGTATTAGTCCCCAAACAGCCAAAAGTGTTCCCAGAGCTGAACCTTGTCATAGCTAAATCTCCCTCTCTCTACAAAAATTCATCAGCAAAATTCCATCCTTACTTTAAGGTTTAATTTATTCCCAGTTTATCTATGTAACCTCTCCGGCTGCATAAGCCCTTAAGTGGACCTTTGAATTTGGTAGAATTTTTTTATATATCACTCACTCCTGTAGTCATGACTCTTGCCATCACTTTGGTAGGGTTTTAGCAATATCCCAGACTTTCATAATGAGTTTTCCAATAGTTTTGTTCCCTCTATTTTCTATGTTATATTTAATATATTGAGTGGAACTTTGGAAATAATTTTAGAAGAGTCTTAATTTTTACAACTTCCTGAAAATTTCTCTTCTAAATATGATGGATATGCTCTTCTCTCTTTAACAGAGAAAATTGACTTCTCTTGAAAAGTTTCCACAGTCATGCTCAAGTTGATGAGATAATACATTTCCTTCTATGGTAACCACCATTATAAATCAGATGCAGAAACAACATAACAGAAAGTCAAATAAATACACAAAAGAAACACAGCCAAATTAGAAAAAAATGTAAAGTAATAATATTGAAGAAACAAGTTTTAGTCTGTGCTTAAACATTATCACAGTCTAAATTTTCAGTGAGTTCAACAAAGTAAAAATACTGCATCTTTTCTATATGATTTCCATGACTCACCTCTGAGAAATTTTTTAAAAACTCAGAATTATGCTAAAACTTTTTTATAAATGAAAAGAAGCT